ACTGCGGGCGAGGGCGCGAGGCCGCGGCGGGGCGGGGGCCTGCCCGCTTTCGGGCCCCCGGCGGCGGGGAGGGCGCGAGGGAGGGCAGCTGCGGAGCGCTCTGTGTGGGGCTGGGTGCTGGGGCGGGCGGAGCGGGGGCTGCCCCGGGGGGGCTCGGCCGTGTGCCTGAAGGGGCGTTTTGGTACGGCCCGAGGAGCGCCGTGGGGCGTGTGTGGACGAAGAAGGGCGCAGGGCAGGGAACGAGCAGGGCTGGCAGGGGGGCGCCGTGTGGGGCAGGGGGTTCGCGAGGGGCCTCGGGACGCCCGTTAGGGCTGGGCGCTCCGTGGGGAGCCGTGGGGAGCGGGGGCTGCGGGGCGGCGCGCATCAGGGGCGCTTGCGGGCTGTGCGTCCCGCTGGGGTGCAGCTGGATGTGGGGCCGGGCTTTGCTGGGCAGGGAGGGGCCCTGCGCTGCCTTGGGGAGGAGCAGCTCTGCGCGGAGGGGGCTGTGGGGGGGCTGGGGCGGAGGGTGGTGAGGGGCCAGGGAGCCTGTGCCATCTTGCAAGGGCAGGCTGCTCCGTGTGGGGCTGATGCCTGCCTGCCTGCCCTGGCGAGCTGGTTTGGGCTGGGCGGTTAGGGGTGCGGATGGGCCAAGGGAGCCCGATAGCATCTGGGGTGGGTGCGGAGACCTCTCCCTGTAGGCTGGGCCCCGGTGATGATATTGATTGAATGTGGGTGTGAGAAGAGGGAGCATGAAGGCGAAGAAGTCATCGCTTGCGCATTGCTTACGGAAAGGCACACCTACTTATCATCTGGGACAGAGTTCACCAACCTTGTGTTCTCCAGATATCTTGGACTACATCTCCCATCACTCCCAGCTTGGTTGATGGGATTTATAGACCCATGTATCTTGGGGTGCTTTTTTTTGGGTTAAGGATGATTCAGGGTATCTGTTTGGATTGATGGAGTTGTGTGGGGTGGGATGGAGTGGAAAAACGGGGGTTTAGGCAGGGTACCATGACCAGTAATATTTGTTTATTTATGCACCCTGTGTCTCTGCCCAAAGTGGAAAGCAAGGCGGGGGTGTTGCTGTTTGGTAGGGGAGTGCAGAGGAAAGCACAGGCCTGCAGTACAAATGTGTTCTGGGCTAGCGTGGGTGAGGCCTCTTTCTCCTATTAGGAAATGCAGTGAGGTGGCATGGAAGCAGGAGAGATGCCTTTGTGGTGAGAGGTGTGTGTGTGTAAAAACAAAATACTGAGGGCTGGCTTTATTTGAGGCTGGGCTTTGGAACATGGCAGCTTATCTCTAGTGTCCGTTTCTGCTGTGCCAGGTTATGACCAGGGGAGAGAGGATGTGGCTCTCTATGGGGTCTGCGGTAGAGGGAGCCATGGCCCCTGTTGATCTGAGGGAAGTGGAAGTGTACAGAGAGCCATACAGCTGATGGGAAAAGTGAGTGCATGTGGGGAAACAGTTACTTACAGGTAATGATGAGGGGAAGAATGGGACCGAACAAATGCAGAGGTGTCTTTGACTGCCTCTTACGGAGGAGCCTGTACCATTAGGTTTGGATTGCGGTTCAGATCCTGCTCAGTCATGAAAATGAGTGGTCTAAGTCTAAGTCTTTCTTAAGTCTAGCTCACTCAATATCAGTGTTCCCAGAAACTGTCTGTATACCTATCATAGCAGTCTGACCTCACAAGGATATTGGATAAGGTATATGAGGATCGTTTATATTAGTACTAACTTACTATTTTTATCCTGTCCCTTAATAAAATAATCAAGGTGGCTTAAACAATTCCTGTTACAACAGCAACATATAAAAAGCAGCAAAATTTGTAAGAGCAGCAAAAAATAAATCAGTAAGGTTGGATTTAGGGATCAGTCCTAACACAGAGGCTTCCATGTACCCAGCACCCTGCTGGGCTGAAGTTACCTAGGCCTCTCTGGTCTCCTCCCTTTCCTGCTCACGGGAATGTCCCCTTTCTCCCTTCCCCGAGGTTGATTTCCCAACCTGGAGAGTAGCTAGAGCGGTTGTTTCCATGCCTGTTGCAAGGAGGCATATTGATCTTTTGACTCATCCTTATGAGATTGGAGCAATATTTGTGACCTTGGATGGGTGAATTTCCATTATTCTATGTCCTCTCAGAATATCTAGGGGCCATAAGATTGTGTCTTTAAAGATGGGTTTAAAAAGGACCTTGTCTGACACTGAAATAACGTCAAAACTAAGTACAAGGTAAGCCTTGGATGGAAGGAGCATAGAATAACCATGTAATAAAAATATGTGATGATATGCTGGGGATCTGAGAGCCAGTGTAGTTTAGTGTTAAGAGTGTGGGACTGGGACTCAGAAGATCTGGGTTCTAGTTCCCAGTTACAGACTCTTAGCCCAACCTATCTCCCAGGGTTCTTGTTATGGGGATAAGATTGAAAGGATGTGAATTTTGTAAGTTGCCTTGAGTTCCTTGAAAAGAAAAAGGCAGGCTATAAGCATAATAAAAATAAATAATAAATAAATATGTAGGATGAAAGATTAGTGGGAAGTAATAGTTACTCTTTCAAGGCTCCGGAATAATATGAAGCAATGCAGAACAGTATAGTATAAATGCTTCACCATTAAAAGTCAACCAAAGCAAGAAAAGTCTTGCAACATTCCTGCAATATGTAAAGACTTGGACTTTGACATACTTTTTGGGAAAGGACCAAAAATGGAATAAAAACAGGAAGGTCTGTATTTAAGAATTGTAGTTCCAAGTCACCATTCTGCATAATGCCACTAGGCCAGATTGTCTGCCAAAAGTGAGAAAACAGTTAAACTGCAAAGTTAATGAGGCAACTTGTCTTTAGTTTTAAACCCACTCCCTCCATCTCTGTTTGTTCCCCATATTTTCATGAATCTCTCTTCCATCTTTACCATGAGTGGCTTATGCTGCTATAGAAAGAAGTAGATTTTATTTTTAGTATATTTGATAATAAGGCTCATCATTTTCCATTTCTTTTCTTGGTATCAATACCTTTAAGCTGTGACCTGGTTCACACATAATGACCCCAGAATACAGGTTGAATAAGGGTTGTCATTTAAACATGGGTTGTTGAATTGTGGGTTGTTATGCACAAATCCTCTACTATGGATTAACTATGGGTTGTTAACCCAGGAAGAGATCCCATAGTTCAGTGTTGGGTTATATATTCTTAGTTGTTCATGAATTGCAACCCATAGTTAAAGCATAGTGAAGAGTTCATACATAATGGCAACCTGTGCATCAGTGGCAGCCCATGCTCACTCAGCCTATACTTTGGATTGTTGTTGTATGCAGCCAAGCCAGTGTTTACCTGGGGAGCAAATACACAGTTGAGTTCTGACTGGAATGGTGGTTGAATGTTCTCAAGTATCATGGGACATTTCTCAGCTTTTGAGTGAAAGAGAAACCCATATCCTAACTTTTGAGAAGCTGGTTTTGTAGATATGCCCCAGGATGAAGCTATTCTTTGTAATTTTAATGTTATAGACAGTGTTTTTCTTTTGTTTATTTAAAACATTTATATGCCTCCTTTCACTATACCACATTTCATGGTGCTCTTGAATTTCAGTGGGTATATTTGTTTTATTGGTATGTTTATTAAGAAAGAAAATAAGTAGGTATCCATCTGTAGCACATGCTGCAGATGTATGTTGGTGATCCAGGTGTTTTGTAAGGGATGGGAACAGGTGATGGCCTTGCCTGCGGCTGAATTTTATTTTTTATTTCAGTCTCCCTGGAGTTATGCAATTTGGACCCTGAGGTCTCAGCTTAGTTGAATTTGCCAGTAACCTTTCCCTATATGTTCAAACAGCAAACAGACTGGGTAGAGAAGGATTTTCTTAACGTTTGACTTGGGTACAAAATGTGTATTGAGAAAAGCGACATTTTAGGGGACGGTGCTAAATATACAAATGAGAATATTATAATTTCCAGTACAGAGCTTGAAGAGTAAATTGGAAGACCAGGGGAGAAAGGAAACATGTATTCAGAAGACAAGAAAATATCAAGATCAAAAAAGTAGCTGGAATTTCCACCAACTATTAATTTGTCTTTCAAAGTTTACTATATTTCAAGGTGTGTAACTATAATTATTGCATGAACTGCGAGGGATAGATTGTGTTAAACTATGTTAAGATAGCTCATAGATCTGTTTTTCATCTGATCTTTTTAAATGGACAAAGAAATATGAATGTGCATTTCTGAACTTATCAGAACTGCAGGTAAATTATAGAAGTATTTATCTCTAGAATAATTGTAGAATTATTTACACTCAAATGGAGTGCAATCATATATCATATATCGGAGAAAATGCACTGTGTGGTTCTGTGCTGCCTGGGAATAAGAAGACAGAATAGATTTTTTAAAATTGTGATGTTAAGTATTTCTTTTGAACTAAATTGTGATAAGCTTTTCAAAACGAGGGATATTTGTCTTGTACTGTTTACATCTTCTTTGGTTTCCACTAAGCTCAGTTACATGCAGGGTTTTTTTCATCAAATAACAAGTTCTTAGTGTTATTAAACTATGTTGATATTCCCTGTTGTGGCTGGCTAAATGTTTGGAAAATAGATTTTTGTTACACAAATTGATTTACAATGTTCTTCTTTATCAAAATACTTCTGTACTTCTTTCCCCCAGGCAAAATAATTTGTACTATACTTAAAAATGAAAAAGACAGAGCTGAGATAAAATGACTTTCACAGCTACTAGAGATTTACAGTGCAATCCTGTATCTATTCTAAAGTAAGCCTCATTGAGTTGGATGCAGCTTCCTCCCAAGTAAGTGGGTGTAGGATTGCAGTTCTAAAAGTGCTATCTTAATCACGCATCCTTGAAAATTAAAGTAAGTGTGTTTAAGATTGCATCGCCTTATCTGGGAGTAAGCCTCATGAAGCTCAGTAGAACATCTCAGTAAACGTAGCTGGGTTTGCACTGTAGTTTTTATTTTTAAATTTTATTTTGTTTAAACTCTTTCAAATCCATTGCTGGCACTCTGTGACATGAATAATGATTCATCTACCTGTGGTGTATTTTCCAGCTACAAAAACCTTTTTGTTAAAATTTAAATTTCTTTTCTTTTTTTTTGCTGAGCCTTTGGATTTAATTTCAGGCACTTCTTTTGCTATAGTGCACAGCATCAGGAGAGTTAAGCCATTTCTTTACAACATTTTAAGGGAAAATAGTGATTCAAATGAAGGTAATATTTAAAACAGTAAAACAGCTTGTAGCCTTATGCAGAGCTATTTTGGAGTGAATATGTTTGAACTGCCAGAACCTTCTGCGTAAACATTCATACAGTTAAGTTTAAAAGCATATCCTTTTAGGTTAATCAAGAAGCTTTTTGAAATGCTTACTTTAATTCTGAAAAAGAAGCATTCCTGATTTCAAAAGTTTGGAAAACACTTGTCCAGTCTGAACGATAGATAGCATAAAAGGCAGCTGTGCTTAATGTCACTTATTAGAATGGAATACATGTTTGCATAGTGTTCCCAACAAGCGGCTGTTATTAGTAACCATGTAAAATGGAAGGAGCATGCGTTATTTGCTCTTCAGCATAACCTCACCTTTTAATTGTTTTTCTAGAGGGCATTTGGACACCATGACAATTACTCTAGTATGCGATCCCTCGGAAGCTATGGAGCTCTGTGCTTCTCAGCAACTCTATCTTAAGCCTGTAGCGAAATTGGCAATCAGTGTGGTGCTTCCAGAACACACCGGATCTACCAGGGCATTCTCTAAGTGGGAAGTGATGGACAAGCTGAAGAATATGATTTGTCCAGACCAGTTCACCAGTGTTAAGGTTTCAAAGAGCACTAAGGGTTTCATTCGGTTTGAGGGAGAGGCAGAAACCAAGCATTTGATTTGTAGCCTTAAGGAAAAGCTCCATGGCAAGATGATAAAACTGAATGGTTTTAAAGATGACTTGCAAGTGGTTGCTACAGAGGTGCAGCCTGACTTCTCAACTCCTCCGGAGTTGGAGCCCAATTTGAACAATAGAGAATTGCCGGAGGAAGACTTTGCTGAGCAAAGCAAGGATATTCCTGACTGCATCCATTTGGAAGGATTGCCATGCAAATGGTTTGCACTGAAAGGCTCAGATAGTGAAACACCAAGTGAAGAAGTCTTGAGAGCAGTATTTGAAGGTTTTGGGAAGATCAAGAATGTAGATATTCCCATGCTTGATCCATATAGGGAAGAGATGGTGGGAGGAAGCGTGAATAATTTCACTTTTCGTGGCCTGCGGACATTTGAAGCTTTTGTTCAGTATCAAGAACCCACATCTTTTTCAAAAGCTATGGAGACACTTAAGGGAATGAAGCTTATGTTTAAAGGGGATGACGGAAAAGCTCTTGCGTGTAACATCAAGGTAAGAAGTATCCCACAGGGCTAGCTGTTACAGTCTGTTATTGCAAAAACAACCACAACTTGTAGCATCTGGGACAGATAAGATTTCTTCTGCCATAAATAATTGTGCACCAAGTGAGCGTCATCAGTCCCATTTCTCTCTGACAGTGAACTCTAGTTCACAAAAGCTTATGCCACAATAGAGGTGCTTCCAGATGGAAGGTTACTAGCATTAATGATCAGTGTTAGCTCATATTACTAATCCTGTAGCTCTCCTGCCTTTTCTTGTTTGTTTATTATGGAAGAAAACAGTTGAAAGTGATGGGGAAACACAGGATGGTTACATTAGTTGAGTCTCCGATAAAATTCTGTGAATGGAGCAGGACGGTTACATGACACAAGCCTCATCTGAAAGCACCCTGTGCTAGTGCCACCAGATTTTATGATCCCATAAGGTGTTGCTCTTATGCTGCCTCCTGGTTTTGGCTGCCATGTACTGCGCAACTTCCTGTAGAAGGTGTTTTTTATTGGTCCGCCTAATTGGTATGTCTTTCAAAATTTCCATGTTTTGTCTTTAACATATGACTATCTTGGCTTAAGCAGACTCTTCTATAATTGGGGATTATTTTTCTGCTTCCTTCTTGGATATAACTTTGTATTATTATTAGCTATAGGATACATTTTAGAAAGTTTGTGAATTGTTCTACAGGAATTCTTAAGAAATCAGCACAATAATGTCCACAAAGTAGCTAAGTCCCACTGAGTTCAGTGGGGCTTACTCTCAGGTTAGTTGTATAACCTGAGAGTAATCTGAGTTGGCACGTTTTACTTGGTTAACTTGTAAATTATCTGAGTTAGTTGTATTTTAAAATTTCATTTAATATCTCTGGTTTAGTGACATGGGCAGTTTTGCAGTAAGGATTTCAGTTCTTTCATGTGACGAACCTGTAAAATGAGATGTTTGGGTTTAGGTTTTATTTAATCAGATGTCAGCAATTCTGAAGCACTGTTGCCAGTGCAGGAGAATACTTCAAAAGGCTTATGCAGGACAGTACTTGGGACACACAGAGTCCTAATTCTCATTTTAAAAGCAGTGAAAAGTAGCAGCTTTTAAGCATCGCTTCACATTTTCGTCTTTGTCAGCCACTGTCCTAACTCAGCCTTTAAATCACCTTTTAAACTTCCTTGCCCTGAGAGCAGAAGGTTGCAGTTTGGCATCAGGTGTAGTTAGAATGGGCACATTCTGCTGCTTGTGTTCATGCTGGATAATTGCTACTAGTCATTTATTGGTGGTGCCATATCGTGTGTAGAGGGCTGGATCTGAGTGCATCTGAGTGGAGCAGATGTAGGGGAAATAGACAGCTCCTTGTCATCAACATTTATATTTTCTGTGCTGAGCTGCACAGCAGAGGCCTTGCTCCTGCATGTAGGTAGCTGAGCCCAAGTGGCCTGGAGAATCTCCCGATGCCCCGAGGTTCTCTCTCTCTGATGGTGGAATTGGCCGCACAAGCTTTGTGGATGTTATCTGCTTGAATGAGCAATTTTACAGTTTTGTTCTCTTTATTTCGAAACAGGTGACACCTGATACGGCCAGCCATTTCAGTGAGAGTGCCATAAACCAGAGAAACCTGGAAAGATTAACTCTGCAAGGGCTAGAGCGAGAAAGAAAGCGGGAGGAAAGCAGAGGGAAAAAGGGAACAGAAAGGTGAGGAATTAATTTTCCAAATGATGGACTGTGCTTTATTAGTGAGGGAAATTGAGACGAGTGTGTTCATCGCGGTGTGGGCTTGTTGCTTAAAAACAAAACCATTTTGCATCCAGGCAGTTTAACTTGTGCACCAAAAGCAGTTGAATCCTGTGACCTATATACATGGATGCAGATATTTATAATTTTCCTGCATTGTCAACCTTACAATTTTTGCTTGCTTCACTCCTGTTTTGCCAGTCATGGGGAGGGTCAGTGCATTTTGGAAACGTGCCCACAGTAACTGCAAATCTCACTCAGAATATTTTCCTGTCACCCGAGATTTCAACTGGCACTGTCCCTTCATTCAACCATATCTTCACTACCATGTGGACTAGAACACCTTAAAAATAATTGAAAACCAAGAATCTCAGTACCAAATTCTGCGTTTCCATAGCATGCACACAGCCCCAAGTATATTTTGTTACAGTGTTATTCAGGCAAGAAGACAACGGACTAAACTTGCAGTCTCTGACCAAAGCTTGGACGGGTCCCCCTCTCTTGTTCCATTGCCTTCTCTCTCCTCATACATGCACACCATCCACAGCTGTTTGCATTTATGTCCAATAAATGTATCTAGATTATGGGAGAAAATAGAGGAATTTGAACCATACTGTCATGAAGGTGAATTTGGTCTTTAAGGTTATTACCTCGCTTTTAAACATTGTTCATAAGATAAGGCAACTGGCTGAGCCTATGCAGTTGAATCAGTGCTGCATAATTGTTGATGCTGCCTGGGAGCACTGGCTCCCCAGGGCTTCAGGCTGGAGTTTTTCCAGCTCCTCTGGGGGCTGAATCTGGGACCTTCTTGTGTGCAAAGCATGTGCTCTACCACTGAGCTGTGGCCCCTGCCTGGTCTAGTATTCAAAACATGTTTTGATCAGGTAACCAGCAAACTGCAAACTGCATCCTGTTACTGTCCCTGAGCTTCATGATTTTACTTTTACTTTTCCAGGGGAAGCTAAAAGGTATAAAAGACGGCCTTCATGCCATGTTGGAGATATGGCTGCAGAAATGATTAAAAATTAGGTACTTAACTCTGCTGTATCACTCAGAGTGACTTAATGAAAGCATTTGCCTTCCATGGAAGAACAATACCGCTCTCACTTTCTCAGTCAAAACTTAGTGACAAGCAGTAGTTGGTTCAGAAATAGATGAATGATGAACTTCAGGAGCATATTGGTTAAAGATTTTGCTAGCAATTCACTTTGTTTCTTGCATGTTGTGATCTGTACAGTAGCATTATGTCTACCCTGAAGTAAAATTAATTTCCAAAAAAGATCATGATGCTGCTTCAGTTCCAGGGTTGCCTGATGAGTCGAAACATGAATACGTGCCACTACTTGTTTTCTCAGCCTTCCTTGGTTCTCCAGAGGGCTTCTCCAGTGCCAGAACACACCTGAGCACCAAGGACACCTGAGCACATATATTTTAATTCTGTGGGGGGACCTGGGCTCCTCCCACTCCATTCTGTTTAGAACAAAAGTTGTTATGTTAAAGGCAGAAATGGTAACCCTAGCTTTATGCCCCTTTCACCCAGTTCAGTTCAGTACTCACAAGATTTAACTTTCTCACCCCTTTTCAGTCTGTTTAGCCTTTGTACATAAAATACAGATCCTTCAGCTCTGGGATTTCCCAGTTACCAGGCAAGGCTGTGCTTGTTGCAAACAATTATCAATTCTTAGGCAATCAAACTAGACTGCCAACTCATTCTCTGCTCACAAATTATATATTATATTCCTTGGGTGAGGAACGGTTCTCGACCTAACTGCTGTGTTTTCCAGACTTCTGGGAACTGTAGCACTGTCTTTTGAATTAAAACTGGAGGCTCACTACATGCTTGCTTCCCAGAAGGTTTACTTTTGGAGTTACCCATAAAAACAAGCAGCCTGTTTTGTAACATCTTTAGTGTTGAAAAGATCTGGAGGATTCAATCTTGCCAACAGGTTTGAGCCTTTTTTTTGGTTGGGCTTAATAAAGGTATTGCCTGACTGTGGATGGTGGTACTTTGAGAGCCTGCAATCACAACCTTTACAGACCCGAGGGCAACATGGAGCGTTGTTTGGGGTGATGGAGGCTGCACATGTCTGTACATTCACATACCACTCATATACCTTTGATCATGAAGTGTTGTAAACTGCTGTTGTTTGGTATAGAAATGAAGATCATCATCATAATAATGTACACTACTTAGACTGTGCTTATCCTGTGTACATTCTGATTTTTTTAAAAGTCCCTTCAGTTTAAGGAGGGGGTGGGCAACTTTTGCTGCTTCCCTTTGGAGATCATCTATAATAGGCTGGGGTTATCCTATGCTGCTGCTTGTATACCTAAGGCACCCCCACTTAAATCTACATCCATTCATCCTCTGACTTACACATGCACCCATCTACCCACACAACCTTGACCTTTCCCGTTGCTGTTGGGGATGGGGAAATGCTCCGGGGAGGAGCGGTTCCTTGCTCTAGAACCCTCTTTCCCCAACCAGAACTTTTGTTTGCCACTTCCTTGGCTGATCTGCAAACCACAGAATCCAATCCTAGGGTATGTCCCTGGCTGTTTCTTGTGGTGCCATCTACGAGCCGCCATCCCTGTCTTAGAATGTGGGAGTTAAAGCGCCCTGCCTTTAGAGGAGCCCATGCGCTATCAAAGCATGAACCACTCGCTTGGGCAAAGCTCCCGAAGAAGGCACAGCCAGAGCAGTTTCTCGTGCAGACACAACAAACAGCCTCCTCCCAGAGCAAAATTCGGTGGCGAAATGTTCAACTGTGGCTGCATTCCTTGTCCCTATGAGTGGCTGATTAGGAAGAGGTAAGACCAGGATCATACACTAAACACAAATCTGCATGCAGTCTCTATGTGTGTAGTTCTGAGAAACTCTTTCGGATTGAATTTATCACAGCACTCGAGCAGTTCTCATACAGCAGGCAGCTCAGGAATTAGTGTCCTATCCAACATGAATCTACTGTTGCTTTCATTTCTGCCCTATCTTCTCTTGTAGCACTCAGCAGCTTTCAAGGCCAGACCTGCACTGTCTGTGCTCAGCCCATTTTTGTGGCCTAGATACTAACTTGGAATCAGGTTAGAGAGCAAGATTTCAGTTGAAAGCAAAGCAGGGCAAATGGACCCCTGGTTCTCACTGGAAAAAAATGTGTTCAAGTCCTATAGAAATGCATAGGATTGAACCTGCAAATAATTCTGTATTAAACTATCTCTGCTCTGTGTCCTTTTAGATGTAATATCAGGGAATTTAAGAAGCTCAAGTTACCTTGTAACATGTTGTATCTCCTTGTAAATATGCACGGTGCTATATATCCAAAATGCACATTAGTAGGAGATGTTACCTCTTGTTTGTAATAGCAACTAGATCCCAAGAGCTGGCATCTTTCCTCTTAGCACCACAAAGTCCTGTCCGATAAAGGATAGGAAACAATTGTGAAAATGTGAAACAATTTTTTTCATCTCAATTGTCCCGTATTAATAATTGCCTAGAAAAAGACGTGATGATGATGAAAAAAAAGTTGCAGAAGGAAAGAGGAAGTCTAAGATCAAGAGACGAGAAAAAAGACAGATAGATCGGGATGAAAAACGCCCAAGAAAGCAACCAAAGGTAGCAGCTGGAGAAGAGCTGTGGCCAGACAATATGCCTGAATGGGAAGAGAGGAAATACCTTCTAGCTCAGAGAAGAGTGGAGTCTATCAGGCTGCTTACAGTGCTGTTAAGCCAAATAAAAGTAAGAATATGTTATAAAATATTATAACGTTTTTTATTTTAAAAATATTTAGCAGGATGTGGACAATCCACTGTAGGCGTATTTCAGGAGACAGTTTGCCACAAGTGGGCAGCAAGTCTCAGTTTCCGTATCGAAGCCGCGTGGGATGTCGATGGGCTTGACCGTGCATGCAGTGGGAGGAGGGAGAGTCACCTGTCCGCCTGATTTTGGGTTGGGAGACCCAGTCGCTCCTTGCCAAGATCTGGGGCTTTTAATTCATCTCTCCTTTCTACTCTGCCCAGTGATAACACAAACACTTGTAGGTGGAATTTCTGAATCCATAGCATAAAGGAGCCTTTCCCAACCTTGTGCCTTGCAAACGTGTTGGATGTAACTTCCTTTGTTTCCGGCAAGGAGCCAGCAGGTTGGGAAAGGGAGGGTGGGAGGGGCTGTTACCCAGTGGAGGTACTGGGGCTGAAACTCCTTAATAAGATCCAGATGCGGGTTACCTTGGCTATTGCTTGCAGGCAAAAGAAGTGCACCTTACACATCTGTGTTCTGGAAGCTGCAAAACTGCAGGCTCTTAAGATACAGCACCGCTGGGTTCTATGATTTTGTGAGCTTTTAAAAATGTTATTTAAAGTGAGCTAGCCATAAACAGTTCTTTCTTTTAAGGAGAAGTGGACACACTGAAACATCAGGTCCCAGAGACAGTTCCACAACGAGGGCTTGCATGTGTTTTCTTAGCCACAATAATTTGCTAAGGGTTTCAGAAAAGGAGACAGATATGACCTAAAGGTCACAGTCCACAGAAAAGTTCTTTGGGCTGGGGTGAAGATGGGAGGGGAAATATGAGTTGTGGAAAAGTATAATACTTTTATGCAGTTTCTTTTAATTTTGACATGTTGGATCCAGACTTGGTCATACTTAAAACAGATGGGTCTCAGTGGGTCTGCTCTAAGCATGACTCGATCAAGCCCATAGACTCTTGTTCAGAAGAATCTCGAGTTTCTTCTGCAAACAGATTAGGGAGTGTGTGCTGTTTTGGTGTCTGAGCCAGGACAGCCCAAGATCTGACTCTGGACCAATCCAAATTGCACACAAGATAATTTGCTGTTAGGCTTTGCTGAATCGTATTTAATTTCTACTGATGTTGTCTGTTTTGTTGTGCTGTAATCCTGTATTTCCTCCCCCCTCCTTTTCTCTTTTTGCAAAGAATTTTGTGCTACCATCTGGGCAGAGAGAGGAGCCTCTGCAGGATCTTGAAAATGAAAGAGAGGATTGTGTCCATATACCCCAGCCACAGCATGTATTGACAGAAAAGAAAGACATTCATTATCCTGAGCTTAAGGATGAAGGAGAACCTGAGTGTCAGTCAGCCCCATTGGAAGATACGCATATTTGGGAAGGGGAGGAGGAACAGTGCATTGTGACTGAGACTGACTTCCTTGCATCCCCCTGCCCCCTTGGGAGAACTGTTTCCAATGCGCCTGTTGCCAGAGCAATCACCTGTCGCTTAACAGAGAAAGATACAGACTATTATAGTGCCTGCGGCTTGTTACAGGTCACAGTCACTCAAGACTGCAAAGTCACAAGTTCTCCTGACAGAGGGGACTATCCAGGACCAGACTTGGGGTGCTTCTCAAAAGCCTCCAATGCAGACCGCTGCAAGAAGCAAAAAGTTTATGAGACGGAGGAGTTCATACATTACTTACTCAATTACTACCAAACCCCAAGCTATGCACGAATCTGCCCAGGGGCACAGAACTCGGAGGACAAGTCTTGGTGGCAGAGGGTGGTGTCCTGTAATGGGAATGGCTTCCAGGTCAGCCTAAAGAATAAAGATGGGGAATGCTTGACTGAAGTGAGTTTAGTGCAAAACCTTCCTGAGAGAGACAGTGATAATTATGAATGGGAAGTAATAGAGGAGGAACCTGAGCCCACGGAAATCATGCCAAAGAGCCAGGCATGTGCTAGAGAGTTTAGCGAAACCTACCCAATACGGTGGGCCGATTCACCGGAGAGAACATCACATGATGAACTGGATCACTCTGTTCTAGTAAGTACTGGTACTGCTTGTGATAAAAGGTCCCAAGAAGCGGATACTGGATTGGCCGTTGTGCCATCACATAAGCCGTTCGGCCATGTGTATAAACTGAAGGATTTGTTGGAAGAGATCAGCAGCGATTCAGAATACTTTAGTGAGGGACTCAATGAGTCACGGAGCAAAACTGAGAGAAAAAATGGGGGTTGCAGAAATAGCTGCAAGGCATGGCCTCTGAGCCAGCCAAGGGCACGAGAACTGCTGATTTGTGTCCAGAATGTCTCCTGTGGGAGTGAAGATGGCAGGTGCAGCAAACGCAGCTTCCGCTCAAATTCTGAGTTCCATGACTCAACAAAGCACTCCCGGCAAAGGCTCAAGGCAACGTTCAAGAGATCCAGCAGTAAAGTAAAACGAGTAGGACAAAAAATCAGATGGCCATCCAGTGAAGAGGAGAGAGAAACCAGCAGGAAGAAGAAGAAGAAGAAGAAACAGTCTTCTGGAAACTCTTTGCTTGATGCTGAACCTCACTTTCTTAAAACAAACCATTGTGGAGAGCTAGAGTCCCTTGGCAGGATGCAAAGAAAATGTAGCAAGATGTTCCACCACCACAAGATGAAATGTAAAACATTTCATGGCACAGGAGGATCAGTAAAAGCTAAGGATGCCATCCATTTGAGTGCCTCTCAGCTCCAAGAAGCTCACCAAGAGGCAGGTAAGGGGCACATGGACATTAATGTGACTGGCAAGCGAGGGTATGAAGTGGAGGGAAGGCAAAGGATAGAGAGATGATTGCAAGGGGCACAACAGGGAGGTGGTAGAAACGGTGGGCTGTACAGGTGGAGGATGGTCATGCAAGGAACTGGGTCTCTAGGAACGGGGCAGGTTTCTGTTTTGCAAACTTCATGGCGTTATGAGCAGCTCCTGCCACCTGAGCAATCTTAAATCTTGAGGTTCTGCTGCAACTCTCTCCTGGTTTGCAGGGGGCTTGCTATTAAGAAGAGAGGTGGAAGCAGATTCCAAAGGATGGCCTTTGTTTCCTGTTGAAATAATTCAAACAAATCCATGCTCAGAGTCAGTCTGTGGAGCAGAACTTGGAAGAGGATGCTAATTTCATTGGTACTGGAGAATGATGGGAATCTTGAGATACTGTTCAAGGGCAAAGCTCAAAATAGGTCCTTTTATACAACTCTTTTAAGAACTTAAGTGTAAAACTAGATCTTTGGTGATACCGGCATTTTTTATTTTTTATTTTTTGCCTAGGTTCCTCTGCATGCTGGGTGACAGAGGGCACTGTGCTGAACTATTTAGCTTGGTAAAAGTAGGTGGCAGAAATCAGTTGGTGGAGTCGATGTCTGTGCTAATGAGGAAACCCTCCCAAAAAGGTCAAAATGTTACTGCAATGCATGATTTAAGTCAGGTTGAACATTTGAGCCAAGGAAACGGAATAGTCCCCGCTGCGCTACAGGATGTGAGTTCTGCTCTCTGGTAACAGTACAGTTAGAGGAGTTACGCCGAAACTCCTCATATACTGGTCGATTTTTTTTAATTCAGAAGATTCAAAAAGGAAGTGCCTCCTCAGTCGTTTTTAAAAGGGGGTGGGAGGGAGATAGGATGTGATACTTCTGTGAAATGGAAAAGGAACATGTTTGTAATTTTCTGCAGATTTGGTAATTTGTAAGGCCAAGCGGCCGTTGGCATAACTTAAGCCAAAACCTTGCGGGCATGTGTAGGTTATGTCAGTCACTCTTTGCCTGCCCAGACCATTTTTGGGCAGTCCCCATTGGGTTTCCTGGGGAGGGAGGACTAGCCTTTTCCCACTATGCTCTTGGACTACAGCTCCCATAATCCCCAGCCAGCGTGGGAGTTGTGGTCTGACACATTGGGAAGGCTCTCTGTTGGGGAAGGCTAGTGTAAAGCAGCAGGTACCATATTTTCCATCCTGTTATCTGGGAGTTCTGCCTATGCCTGCTGCCTGTTATCTAACTGAGGGCAGAACTGCTTGTGATGCAGGAGATCCATTATCCGATTTTCAGGCATTAAAAAAATAAAGCAGGCACAGTGGGCTGAGATTATCATCAGAGCAGCAGTGCTGGAAAGAGTATGGATTTAGCGCCTTTCTCTGTCTGCCATGTAACTTTTCCTGTTGGAAGAAGGCTCCTGTGCTACTGTTTGCTCCACGCTGGCAGAAAAATGCCAGCATTTTTTCTGATGTGGACAAAATAGCAACTTTGGGGGAAGGAAGGGTTAGATCAGAGGAAGACAGAAGAGGGAGAAAAGGCCTAACTCTTCCTCTCTCCCCAGCACCCACATTCCAATCATATTGGAATCATTTGTGGGTGCTTTAAATTGTTCTGTGTTTTGTTTTCTTTTTAAAGCATGTCGGCAGCTCTCCTGCATCCCTTACAGTTTGTCCATGCAGAATAGGTGGGATTTGCTGATGAAATGGACAAAACTAAGCTATAATCACAGTGAAATAATTTCCAACTCTTATGGTGTGTGAGACAACCAGGGAAAGCTACCTGGTCCTTGCAAAAGTTGTGCTTCCCTTTTCTCTTTGAGTTTACAAAAGTCATAGGACTGACTACCACTCCTTTAAAAAAAACAGAGAGAGAAATTTGTGATGAAAGAATGCCAGTTTTTCACAAGTTCCTTACAAGCTCGTGACACGTTGCTTTCGATGACTGGGTCCGCTGAACTGAGGGAGCTTTGAACAATGAATGGGGGTATGAAATATCCTTCAGTGCTGGTTGCTCTTCCGTTCTTCGAATTAAGCCATCTTCGGAAGTGCAGTACTTGGAGCCCACAAAGGCTGCTCCACACAGTTATTGTTTAAAGTTGTATGAAACATGGAATCTGCTCTGCAACTCCATTCTGAAAACACTGTATTGACTTCAGTGGGACTACACAAGAGCAAGTACCTTGGCGGTTGTCACTCACTGCACCAGATGGCCACAACTTCTGTGGAATAGTATTCCATATGGAAAGGGAACAGCAACACATTTTACTTCAAGTTTCCGCTTTAAGTTTGATATGCTTTATTTATTACATGTCATAGTCATTTTCATGTGATATGCATTCCCCCACATACCATCCATGTTTGTTACCTTCTGCTCCAATAAAGTAGTAATGAACTAAAGTATGTAGGTATTTGTTGTGTTTAGATTGTGTTTGCACCAAACTGATCAGCAGTGGTGATTCTTATGGACCTCTAAGCCCACTCTTTCTTTAAAACTGAACTAAGAAAAAAATGTGGCAAACCAACCCTATTTTTTTCCTACAATATTTGTCGCCACCTTGAATTGAATGTTTAACCTACCTGTGAATAAAGCTGCTTTATTGGGAAATTCTTCCAGCAATATATTAGATACTTACTTTCCCTTATGAAACATTTGTAAGCAGAAACTCTTTCCCTAGGGCCTTTATTTTCTTTGACTTTATGTTAACTGTTTTGTGCATGGACATGCACATCTTGAATAAAGTGTTTATGCACATTTAAACATGCATTCTTCTTTGGAAGATCCTTGAAGTAATTTCATATTGGTAAGCAAGTACTAGTTAAAATGCTGCATTCCTGCTATACAAAGACACCTTTCCCTCTAGAAGACAGGTCAGACATGGTGGGCTTCCTAAAAAAGTAGTCAAAGTGCTCATAGCAACATCATTCTTCTGTAGTCTGTGCTTTCTGCCACAGAATAAATTGCATTTTCCTCTTCCTTCAGTGAAGGGAGAAAAGTGACAAGAAAATAGGCTCAAACTAAACTCTCTTGGAATAGCCACTGCCAAATCTCTCCAGGACTATTGTCATATGTGCAGCTGAGTTTTATTTCTTTAAGAGTCCTTAACCAAAGTGCTGTGAGCAATTTTGTTAATTCTCCAAGCAACTAAAATTAAGCTTCTGTATATTTAAAACAAGGTGCCACCATAATTTGTTTCATGGCCTGTAGCATTGCACAAAGCTATTTGGCTATTTGGAGATCTTGGATTGAAATTGGGAAAAATAATCTCACTTTTCTGTGAATATGGATGCTTCCTTGGTCATTAATTCCCTTCTGCAAGAATCGGAAAATAGAAAATTCCAGTCCAGTCGGAAGCCTGCTGGGAATATCCCTTGAAATGCACCCCAAGGACAAAAGTGGGAGATAAAGTGTACTAATGGCTCACTTGTTTAATGGTTTTGGACTATCATTTTCAACATTTAACTGTCTTGAATGGCCCCCCCTGCTTTTTTTTTTAAATAACGGCAACATAACTGTTAACATTTATTGCTCAAATCACCATAAAACAGGTTTGTGAAAGTAACTTTATGAATGTTCCTAGAAAGCTTCCTCGAACTTTTAAAAAAGCGAGTTTGTAGACATGTTCTGGTTCAATTTGTATTGCTTGAAAGTCGTGGTGTCTTAATTATGAAAAAGAATAAAATGTATTTATTTATGTAAAAATGTTTAAATGCTAATTCATGATGGATTAAATTGATGAGTAGCATCCAACGGTTAAGTTGGGAATTAATCTTGTCCTAATTACTATGGCAATAGAGGAGGAGGAGTGGAAAAGGGTAACTTAATTTTGTTATTCAACAACACCTTGTATCTTTGTGCTCTATCAAACTCCTTTCCCCCATATTGGCCTCCGAGTTACTTAGCCTTCCACATAAGTGGGCTCCGCTTCGTTTTCTTCCCGGGAACTGAGACTTGGCCAAGAGATTCAATATCCATAGATGAGATTTCTGGACAATTGGATAGGATATAGAAATTTAGTTTCCCAACTAAGCCTTGCCTTTGAAATCAGCTTGGTTGCGTTGGCTCTCCAGATTAATTTGAACAGTGTGTCCTGTGCACACGCACATCCTCAAGCCAGGTTTCATACAGCCTCGCCAAATGTATCTTGTCAGGTTTCCCGGTACCTTATCTTGACAGGTATTTAGGCAGGTTTTGCAGTGCCTTATCTTTATGCAATGATTGTTTTTCATTCTCCGCTGCTTCTGTCTTCAGTATAAATACGCCAGAATTGCTGCTTTTGTAGCACAGAGACTGGTTATGCAATAGCTGGTAACAAGACAGTTAATAAAAGATGGATTTGACTCACTAGAGATTTATGGATCCTTCCAAGAGTGAGCTGGGAGATACGGGGGGAATTGGGCATTTCACTTTGAACTTCGTGAGACATTACAAAACTTGGCTTCTAAGCAGGGAAACCCATGGATTGCTTGGTGTGTGCAGCCTCATTTCCATGATAGCTTTTTATATAGTTTAAACAACTAAAGTTACATTTATTGCATGAATGTTTCCCCTCCTGTTGCGTCTCCCAGAGCAGAGAAACATGTTCCTAACCGTGGTATTTCAGCTCAAAGGCAGCTACAAAATGGACAACTTGTGGCCCTCCAGACATTTTGAACTACAACTTCCATCAGCCCTGGACCGCTCGGCCACTGATGCGGGGAATCGTAGGCCAAAGCTTCTGGAGAGTCACAAGTTGCCCACTCCTGGCCTACAAAGCTAATCTTCAAACCCTGCTCGACAAGTTACATAGTAGAAAGTAGTTACAATGGAAATGGTGTTGTGGGTCTTTACATTGGATACAGTCCTGTTAAAGTTTCGGAAGAAAGGCCTACAACTCTCAGCATGCTGCTGTCAAGGCATGCTTAGCCTTGTGGGACAATAATATATAAGAAGAGAATTTCAAGAGTTGGGGAATGCTTGTATTTGGTCTCTTTTTCAAGATAATTATGTAACTTCCCTTTTTGCAGGCTTGCTTATCTGATTTCTTACTTTGAGTTGACTATCTGTGAACTTGTTTGCTGGGTTCTTTCACTGAATGAAATGAGTGATAGGAATTTAATCATAAATATTTATTTCACTGGCAGTAGGAGGATTGGAAGAAGCACACTGAGAGATTCCATGATTGCTTCTCTTTTACACTGATGGAGGGATACTAAAATACCGCATTTCATTTTAGGTCAAGCAAAGAGGTGCCACATTTCTAGGAAGATTTTATTATCTTTTTCCATTAGAAACTAAACAAAACACAAGCTTCTTGTTCTTAATTTGAAACAACATCACCCAAAGTCAATTTTACAAAGATGAATGGCTTTAAAAAAAGATGGGAAAAACTACCATGAAAGACCCATGTAGGCCAATGATCTGTTTTGAAGGCTTCGCATTATTAGGAAAAAAATCTGTACAACAAAATCGCACATTTAAGGAGGGATGGTGCTGTGAGCTGATAGTTTCTGAATTCTGTGCTTCATGTTTAAATAAAGAGTTTCAAGGACACAACAGATCCCACTTTGTGCAAAGAATGTAAATGTGGGGCAGGGAGATGACACGGGAAGATACACAGCCGTGCTGGCAGAACAAACTTAATCCAACTAGTTCCACTGCTACCATTGGCCAAACTTTCAAGCTACAACCCCTTGAGGGATGCTTTTCTATCAAGTTAGTTTGGCTGCTGAGGATGCCCATTTTGAAAAGGTTTTGGAGGGTGCGCAGTTCAGCTGTCAGCCCTGGGTTTTTCTGGTATATGGCCCTCGCCTTTGTTCTCTCAGAGCCAACTGACTGTGCTGCAGTTCACTGTAAACAATAATGGTGAATGCAGTTTTTTTGCAGTGAAGCTCTTGTTACCATTTCTTGTAACCAAGGAATACTGGTGATCATCTGGTGAATTGTACGGTTCCCAAGAACACAGTTTAGGCCCCATGCACTAAACTATACACAAGTTATCCAGGTTCCAGCACAGCAGATCCACAGCTTGCCTGATAACTTGTTCTACTACCCAACTAGATTCCCATACATTATTTTCTCAAATCTAATCTGACCCTTGCTGCAGTCTGGAATTTATTCCTTGACTGACCCACAACATTGGCGGATTTCTGCTGGTCCCTTGGTGCGTTATCCTGCTTGAGCCAGACAATTCTAATGCAACTTGGTATAAAGGCTTTACCCTTTGTTTCATCTAGCCAAGACAAGGATTATTCTTGCCATATCTGCCACCTTGAGGTTCTCCTTTGTGCTTCCGGATGCTGCCAAGAAAAAGCGACCAAGAACCTTTGATTCCATTCTACTCTGAAATGACGCCTCCAGTTTGAGCAAATGCCTTATGAATAGGAGAGACCAGTATTACTTAACTTTGTATCCCCCAGATGTGTGAGGACTGTTACTCCCATTGTCTGCAGCCAGCATGAGCAGATTAGTTACAGCTGATAGGAGTTGTAGTTTAATACATCTGAAGGGCAATGGATGGGGAAAACCTAGGAGAGACCATTTTGAAGAGGGTTGAAATTTGCAAGTTGGCTGCAAATCTATGCATATTTTAAGTCCACTGAACCTAGTGGGACTTCCAAGGACACATTGATAAGATGCTTCAGCTGTTTCATCTCTCACACACATCAGATAAATTAATACTGAAGTTATATGTTAATAGTAAACGAAGCAAGCTTCTTTGTACGGATCTGAAACAGCAAGGGATTCTGAAACCAATCAAGTCTGTTCTAGACATGGCTGCAAATGTCTATATAAAAGGAGCTTTAAAAATAAGCAAACTCCATAGTTGTGTATTCATTATTAATAAACCAAATAGGTTTCTACTCCCAAATATTTACAGTCATCTAGATTCTGCATAAGTTATACAAAGTCCAAAAGACAACAACTGCAAGCCAGTTCATCTGAGTGGTATGTAAGTATGGGGTAATGATGAAACAGTGACTGGTAAACTGAGTTAAACCCTTTAGCTTGTTTAGTTACTGTTGTAAAGGGATGGTTATTGTGGGCCAGGAAGTAGCAAGGAAGTTTTTTGTTCACCATCAATTCGATAAAGAGAAACTCCACCTTAGTTCATGCTTCGGCTTACTGGGCATCATTCCTCAAGTGCCACTGCTGTGCAATGCCCATTCAGTAAGATTTCCATGGCGGCCTTTGTGAAGCACCATTCAATAAATGGAAATTGTACAAAGTCAAGGTGTTGCAGACTGTACCATTTATTTATTATAAAATTAGGGCTCTGCTGCAGCAACACCACCTGGATAACACAGCTTTGATTTAAGAGACTCAGCACTGGCTGGCAAGGTTACTTAGGAGTATAGATTTTAAAAAGTTTAATTATAGCAAGTTGTACTATTTCTAAAGACAGGGCTGATGTTCAAACCACTAAAACAGAACTAGAATGTGACAAAAAGTCCTTTAAAAATAAAACAACTTCCCCAGGAATCTCCAGATGGCTTTTGCTTTGTTTGCTAATCATTCTTGCGATCTTTAGCATCTTTTGATTCTTCTTCATCTGAATATACAGTTGGCTCTTCTCCATCCTTCAGCAGTTTGCCAACATAGTGGTATTTAACTGAACAAGAAGGAGAAAAAAGCATTATTTTACTGAACATCCTCAAACTGCAGGTACCAACTTTTTGGGGCATGCAGAACCTGAAGATGGGCACTAATCAGGCTCTCTGGTTTCCCCAGAGGGCTTATCCCCTTTCTTCTGGCTTTTCTGGATTTTGCACTCCCCAGCCCACCTTTCTAAAAGGTCAAAATGCTTCCCCGAAGGCTCTCTCAATAGCAGGAAGAGCTTTAAGCAGAAATACACGAATATTTTTCCATATTTTGGCCTTATCGCCTTAGCCTATAACTCTGCCCACCATTAAAAAGGCATCCCTGAGCGCTCTGAAATTGACCCTTAGGTCGAAAGAGTGAACTGCATAAGGGCAGAATAGCAGTGCTTGACAGAAACACTTTCAGCCAAGAAAACTAGTTCCATTTGGGTTTTGCATTAAGAATATATGGATTGCCTGCCAAAAGGTGCTTCTGTAGAACAGGTACTTCAGATTCACCATGTATCAGAGAAAGGTCTATGGTGTGCCTTTGGGATTATACTGCTGGGCGCACATCCCACAGAATGTAGATGGATGACTTGGGAGGGAAACATCCCCAGCAGTGCTGCTTTATCAGTACAACTAAAGGCCAACTTCAGCTTGTTGCAAGGCCAATTTAAGAAAAGGCAGAAGACAGGTTCAGCACCTGGCGTGTAGTTCTTGAACAGAACAGCATGTTCTCCTGCATACAGCGAGAGCTTGCAAAGGGTGCAAGCCTTGGGCAACACAAGTTTTGAAATACTTACATGTGAACTGCTGTTCCCAGTCATGCAAGGTCTCTCTCTGTGTGGCGTCAAGATCAGAAAGATCGTCATATTCGTCCTTCAGAGCTTCTTTATCAAGACAGAAGGTAGCCAGGCCTCTGGATGCATCCCTTCCAGCAAAAATCCCATAAGGACCATCTGCATAGAAGAACAATTTGATATTAAGATTGTTGGTATCTCCTTGCTATTGGATTAGGTACAAGGCCAAATAAGCAGATGCTTTACAACAGACGCAATCTCGATTCTTTGAACTGCAGCTCTCAGCATTTCTGGACACTGGCCATGACAGCTCATGCAGACAGGCGTAGGTCCAAATCAGGTCAGGGAAGACATCTTTAGAAGAAAAGTTCCTCTCAAAACTGTGCATGCCTCACCACGACAGACCCACACAGAGTTTTCTAAATGATGCTATCTCTGAGCAGCTCACTTTGGGGTAGGCAATCTGGTATTCCCCTAGATGTTTGGACAAGAACTCCCAGAGTTCCATGACTACGTTAGGGATTATGGGAGTTGAGGGCATCAGGTCACCTGCACTATTTTCCAGCCATGGATATTTTAAGAATAGGTTGAATGGGAAAAGGAGAAAGGAAAGCCCAGAAAAACAAAGAAGCAGGAAGAGTAAATAGGATTCCAAAATAGCGGACAGGAGACTGTGCTGGAAGGACTAGAAATAAGTGACTTGCTTTTAAGAAAAATGAAGTCGTACTTTTAAAAAGTGGATGGTGAAGACTGAGATCCACCACCAGTGATGAAACTGTTGGCATCTTGCTGAGAAATCCCCCAACACACACAAGCCTGAGTCTGTGCAATGGGGGGGGGGGGGGGGGGTCACGAGGGCTCCTCCAAACTCCAGCTTAAACTTAGGGGGCAGAACTGCTGCTTAAGCGGTCCTCAGATGGTCCTGCATTTCTCCCATTTACCCTGGTGGGGGAAAGGAGTAGTGGCCCCTTGTGGCCTTGGGTATGCAGTCTTAGGGAATCGGTTCACAGTAGGCAGTAGGCGAGCACAGCCTTTTCAGTCCATGCCTCATGTGCGCCTGCAGGAAGGTTACAACCCAATCGGAGCAGTAGAACTAATACTTCCTTGAGGAGCCCCATTCATCTCCACAAGTTTCACGTGCAGTCACTAAATGGAAGTTGTGACTTAGTGACCAGAAATCGCCAGCTCCTCCTCCCCAACTCTCATAGCTGAACCCTCTCTGCTCCCTTTGGCTGTGGCCCGGCATTATAGCTGGCCTTTTCTGTATACAGCTGAGCCTCTGCTAATGGCTGCTCTGTATTCCAAGCCAAAGTCCTGGTTTAAGTCAGAGTTAGCCTTGGTTAGCCAAAGCCAGGTGCATTGCAAACCACGCTTGATGGAGGACACGGAGTTTTCTTACGAAAACGGGGGCAGACCATGGCCCCAACTTATTCCCAAACCAATCACTGTCCATATCGACCTTTGCCAACCTGGTGCCCTTCACATGTTTTCAACTACGACTCCTACCAGCTTCAGCCAGCTGCCCCCCTGAGAGCACCAGGTTTATTACTGACCACCAGAGTTAAAGGCAACCTTATTTATTTATTTATTTTCCAATTTATATCCTGCCTTTTTCCTACAAAGGGCTCAAGGCAGCTTACATCATTCTCCTCTTCCATCTTATCCCCACAACAACAACCCTGTGAGGTAGGTTGGGCTGAGAGTCTGTGACTGGCCCAAAGTCACCCAGTTGGCTCCATGGCCGAGCGGGGACTCGAACCCAGATCGTCTGAGTCCCAGTCCCACGCTCTTAACCACTACACACACATCCCTACCTGAATTGTTCCCATGGAGTGCAGAGAAATCTTTGGCAAACAGTTATTTTGAGCAATAACTTCTCCCCGGTAAATATGCAATTCTAGCAGGCTTCTCTGTTGACTTTAGACAGTAAAAGGGTAACGTAAATCAGTAACTTAGCTCAGCTTAGCTCTCCAACAAATACTTTACTGGGGCTCAGGAATTTCAGTTTTAAAATCTACTGCAATCCAAGCTTCTTGCCTCACAGACAGAAGTCTTGTTCAATCTTATTTTGGAACTTTCCCCTGACTTCTCTGGAATCATGAGGGCTAGAAACATCTATCTACCCTCCCACAAAGTGTGAAAAGTTGGATTTTCAAGACAAACTCCAGATTCTGAGTTTGTCAGGGGCTCATAGCAGACACAGAGCTGATTTAGGTAAGAATGATCCAAGTAATTTTCAAGAACAAGAATTTAATACAGGTGGGGGGTGCAGCAAAGAGGGAGAAAAACCTGTCCCCATGCAAATAAAAGGTGGCCTTCGGCATTTTATCACATGCATTTTGTGTAGTTTGGCCACAGGCCTTTGGAAAAAAAAGAGGGATGACTGCGAAAAAGAAACAGACTGGCTACACACAGGGCCTCTTTGGACCCTTTGCCTGGGCAGGGGCTCACCTTTGAGCCTGCTCAATATTCAAGGGAAGGTGGGGGAGGCAAGCTCCGAGCAGCTGCTTCTGGGCCTTGGGTAATGTGTAACCTCTCTCCTCCTCCACAGATTGCATGCAAGGCAAAGCTCAGGGTGATCTGGCTAGCAGGAGAGGCCACACACACAGGCCAGCCTGGAACGCATGCCTTCCCCCTTTCAGTGCCTGGGGTAGAAAACCCTTCACAGAACAAGCCGGACTGGTTCAGCAAGGGATCAAGCTGGAAAGAGGCTGGGCAATGCACTGCAGAGGTTCTAGGGTATATCCCTCTCCACATTCCCACCACCTGAGCCTTCAGCTGTACATCACACACACACACACACACACACACACACACACACACACACACACTCTCTCTCTCTCTCTCTCTCTCTACAAAGGTGGGCGAGGAGTGCCTTCAGCACCCAGTGCCACTTTGGCAGTTGAAATCCAGGACTGGAGATCTCCTTTCTGTTCACCTCTGCATTAGACCACAACTCGCCCGTTGTCCTGTTGTTCTCCTTGCTACCTCGTATGGGCAGGTATGGAGCCCGTTCTCCCATTCCCCGCAACTACAGCGATCATGCAAATGCTTGGTTGTGTGAAACAGCCATGGTGCATCAGTTAGCTGAGCTGGACGCTGCTTGCTTTACCATCCAAAGCAGGGCCCCACAGGAACACACGAGGCTGCCTTACACTGCCAGGCTCTTGGTCGATCCGGTTCTGGCTGCCAGCAGTGGAATCCCAGGGATTGAGGTGGGGGAGTCCTAAAACCTGTGCTTGAACCTGAGTGCTTTTGCGGGCAAAGCAGGTGTCCTGCCATTGAGCAAGTTTAGTTGTTTCACAGTCATAATTATAAACTTGATAACTAACAGCAAACTAACAAAAATAGGCAAGCAAGGTTTGGTTCAAATCTCTGAACAAAAAGAAAATTAGGTTGCTTTATCCATACTACTTTTATCTCGAAGTAAACTCCAGACAGGGTTCGTATGGGTTTCCAAGTCAATGCATCTAAAGTATGTTGAATGCTAAAAAATAAAAAGGAGCCGAAAGTAAAAGGCAAGCTAATTAATGTTCCCCAGAGTCCTGGGATGGGGTTTCACAACAGTGCTTAGCACACCTCAGCTATGCAGGCCCTGCTTCCCAGCCTCACAATGCTTGAGAATATGGGTGAGCTGCATCCTTCTGTTTAAAGACTGGTTTTTAGCTAGGCCCAACCTGTCCCGATAGTCAAAACAAATCCAGTACTAGGAGTTTCGTTTTGCCATCCAGGAAGATCCAGTTTAATCCATGGCATTGTCAATTGAAAGGATCAAGTAACCAGTGATGGGAAGGTCTGCTGAAGATCCTGGAAGGCCACAGATATCTAAGAACTGACAACACAGACAGGAGTGGATAATCAATCCTGACCTATCTGTTATTTACATCTCATTTACATGAGAACACGGGGTTCATTACAGGGAACATGCAACTTATAATCTGCATGCTCTCATGTGTTCAACCCTTCACATCAGCCCAGCTCTGCATGGTCCATTTGAAAGAGACTGAAAACTTGAATTGTAAGTGGGTTTGGATAGGGAGCGGTCTCAGGTCTTTACGTGCCTCCGAAATGTCATGTCCATTTACTGGGGTGCAATCCTACAAATGTTAAGACAAAAAAACCCTACAATTCTCAGCATTAAATATTAAGAATTATAGGGCTTTGTTCTGATTTCATTTCATTTGGAAATAAAGTTCAAAAAGTTAAGGCAACAAACAGAAGAGAGGATAATAAAGATCACTAGAGAAACAAACAGATTCACTGATGACAATTCTTAGACATGGAGCATCCACAATAAAATCACCCCGATAGGAGCGCAACCTCTTAATGAAAGAGCAAAGCTGCACTTTATGCACAATAAGGAATGTGCTGCTTTGTGTTAGGACTCTTTTTCTGCTGCACATGCACAGGATTGTGTCATTACATATGTCACAAGCTGACTCTGTTTGCAACCCTGTTAAGACAATTGAAGAAGTAAACCCTCCAACACGGGACTCATTTTCACACACACTGAGCAAAGCCAGATGGTCCAGGGGTTTGAAAACCCATTCAATTATATTCCTGATAACAACCAACGATAAAAGCAAAGTGAGCAATGCAACACACGATAAGAGTCTTGACAAAATATTTGACTGACTCACACATCGTCACCAGAGATTCCCAGCTTAGCACAACTTTTAATAATTGCTTACGGGCAGAAGGGCAGGCGAAGCAACTAAGGCAGGAGCTGAAAAGCTGTGCAGCTATGAGAATGTGATGCAATTCTTGGAATACAACACAACAGATGAGTTCCCACACTGCCCTCCTCCAAGATCGTGCAATCAAAGAATGGAAAATGCAACCCTAGCCAGGAATTAATGCAGGAGCAGCAGCAGCAGCAGTCACGCCAGGCTGATACCAGGATGGAGCAACCTCCTGGCAGAGGCTGCAGTCCTGCGCAAGCTTGTGTTGAAAACTCCACTGAAATCAGGACACCTCACTTCTGAGCTAACGTAAGAAAGGATCGAGCTGTGGGTACGTGAACAGGGACCTGCCAGGATCAAAGCTCGCCACCACCTTGGAGGTGCTGTGACTCCGTGAGCCGGTGGTGCAGAATTACTCTTTCAAGAAGGCGGCAGTTCAATCCTGTGCATGTTTGGAGAGCAATCCTACAACTCCCAGCATGCAGCAGACGGTACGGCTGGCTGGGGAATGCTGGAAGTTCTCTCGAATATGAAGGATTGCACCCTCTCGTTTGTAGCATGATCGTGGCTTGGAGCCAGCGCTCGCTCACCCAGAGAAGCTCCAGCGCGGACGACAGCGCTCAACAGGCGCGCACAGCACCCTCTCCCGCCCCCCCCCGCTCCAGATGTGCAGCACTACAGCGCCCAGAATTCCCCAGCTAGTGGTTGCCCAACCCCTCTGCGAACCATCAGGTCGGGGGAAGGCCGCGCTATCTAGGATGAGCTTGTGCGCGGCCTCCGCGGAGAGCCATTTCTTGCTCCTCCAAGCGGATCAGGAATCCCGGGCTACCTTACAGGGGCGCGGAAAGGCTCGCCCCCGAAGCCCCGGCCGCGCTGGAAGCGCCAGGTCACGCGAGCGCCAAGGAAACGGCGCCGGAGGGAACCCGACCCGCACCGCGGCCCCCCGCACCCACCCCCCCGATCCCCTCGGGCGCGGGCGGGCGCCGGGGCGCGGGCGTCCCTCACCGGGCCCGTAGAACTTTCTGCCGCGGCTCACGTCGAAGACCTTCCCGCTGATGGCCATGAGGATGCGCGGGTTCTGGCGGCCGTCGAAGGCGCGCAGCTCGGCCAGCGTGAAGTCGCGGCGCTTGAGCTTGGGCAGCGGCGGGGGCTCCTCCTCGCCGTCGGGCGCGGCGCGGGGCCGGTCTCCCCGCACGATCTGGTAGATGAGGAAGAGGCAGAGGCCCAGCAGGCTCAGGTTGAGCGGCGAGCTCACGATCTCCAGCAGCAGCCCCGGGCTGCTCGCCTCCGCGCTCTCGCCGCCGCCGCCGGCCGCCGCCGCCGCCGCCTCCTCCTGAGCCATCGCCGCCCTGGCGCTCGCCTTTCCGCCCTGCTCCTGCCGCTGAGGGGAGGCGAGGCGTGCGGGGCTCCTCGCTCGGATGCAAACGTCCGGCAGGCCAGCCGAGCAAGCGGAGGAGGAGGAGGAGGAGCCGGGGCGGGCCAGGCCGGGGCCGGCATCGAATCAGCGGCTGGGGAGGCGCGTCCGGATGCGGCGGGGGTGGGTACGCAGGCGCCGCCGCCACTCGCAGCCTCTTTGTCACCGGCGGGGCGGGCAGTCCGTGCACTTGGGGGGAAAGCTGTGGCGGGTCGAGCCTGAGCGCGCGCTTACTCGGGAGTAATCCGGCAGTCTTAGCGAGGGGGCGCGGCGCCCAGCAAGCCAGCTGGAGAAGAGCTTCCAGGCCTGCTTGCGACAGTGCGCGCGCAGAGAGCGCCAGACTCCATCGCAGCCCTCACCCAACTTGACTGCCCTCCAGCTAACTTGCACTACAGCCCCCATCATCTTCGGTTAGACGGGCTGGGGAGGATGGGCAACGGAGAGGGAGAGCGCCCTGTTGGGGAAGGCTGGGGTTGGGAAAAATCCAATTAAACTCAATTCTACATTTTCCAGAGAGGGTTGCCACATTAAGATGCAAGCCTGCAGGTGCTGTCCGGAAAAAGGCCTCTTTCTGCCAGCATGGGCATGCTGAGAATTATAAGGCTTTTCCTCATCTATATTTGCATAGGAATTTCCCCCGAAATTTCCAGAAGGGGCTTTGGTGGCCTGGGGTCCACTCCAGGAGAGTTTCCACTTTCAGGGCATGCGGTTGTGGCAATGGTGGTGGGAAGGAAGAATGCAGAAAGATGGAATGCAAAACCTGTTCATCCTATACATGTGTTTCTTTAAGGCTACAATCCGAGGTATGTTTAGGCAGAAAACGCAGCAGTGCTCGCCAAAGCCTTTCCTCCAATTTCGAGGAGAGAGGGCCCGGTCTTGGGTGTGTTTGCTGGGCTGTGCTGGACTAGCAGGCCGCCTTCTGCCTAGATCAGGGGTCGGCAACCCGCGGCTCCGGAGCCGCACGTGGTTAATCAGCTAGTTTAGCTAGCTAGTAAGTAAGTAATTTAAGTAAATCAGCTAGTTAAGTAAATTGCTACATCACTACATTCCTAGCTAAACAAGCTTCCTGCGGGCTCTCATGTTACACGAAACATGAAAGGATTCTCATTGTTCCAATGTAATCTTCATCTGAATGTTAAAAGCTGCCCTTGGGACCTGTCACAATTCACAGCACTTGACTGTTTGTCTGCTAATCAGTCACTAAACACACCTATATCTCCAGCACAGCCTCTGATCTGGATCTGTGACCCGACCCCCGACCCCCCCCCCCGTGCCAATTTACTGAGCTCCCCCCCCACCCCCGTAGGCCAACCATGGATAAATCGAAGAAGAAAAAAGTTTCTGAAGAAAACCAAACGTTTAATGATATGCGGATAGATTCATTTGCTTTTACTGCTGATGAACTTATGGGGTTTGCTGTTTAATGCATGGAGTCCTTTAGCACTGACTTTAACTCTGCAGGAAGCAGTTCTCCTATTCGAACTATATGAAAGGAGTCCTACAAGTTTATAATGTAAGATTAAAAATAACAGTTTTTAGTGACTGAACAAGGGCCGCAGCTAAATCATAATGAAGATATACATAGCATTAAGGTAAAAAAAGTGTTCTCTTCATTTTAGATGTCAAAAGGGTTTTGCGGCTCCCAGTGTTTTCTGTTCTGTGGGAATCAGGTCCAAATGGCTCTTTGAGTGTTAAAGGTTGCTGACTCCTGGCCTAGATGGAGCGCCTGCGCCTGCAGCTCAGACTCAGTGGTGCTTCTCATTATAGTGCAAAGTTGACTGCAATCCCTGCCAAAGGTGCTTCTACCCAGTTCTGACTCAGAGCGATGAATCCTTACACAACCAACAAGCTTTTGTTTACTTTTATGATAAAAATATTCTGCACCTTCAGTATTGAGTAACTTGTGCACATAGAGGGGCAACAGTGCCAGTGTGATCCGTTTCAGTTCCAGGTTGTAATAACAAAATCTGGAAAAATCAAAGGGGTGTGTGTGATTATTTTTGCAGGGGAAAGTAGTCATACTATTGTTGTATCTCGCGGTTTTGCAGATGAGACCAGAGACCAGTTGGTAAATTTAAAGAGGAGTTTATTACCTGCAGGGACCAACATTCTAGTAAGAATGCGGAACCTGGCAGAATGGCAATGGGATTTTTATACTTTTACAATCAGCTTGCAGACAAATATGGGAACAATGGGAAGTTACAAAGTCACGTAGGCAGCAGTTAAGCAAGTGAGATACAGAAGCAGATCGGTTAGCAGTAAGTCTATCTTTTAATTTACACCTTTTAGAAAAGCTTTGCCCATTGCACCTTTGGCAAGCTTTTTCCATTTTCTGAGGGAATGCCCTGAGACAGCTGATAAAGATTCTGATAGGCTAGTCCTGTCATGCTAATCTATAGCCTGGAGAGTCGTGCCTATCAACTTTCACTTTGGATGTTTAACAATTTCTTGGACTACCTGCTTTTTACCAATGTCGGTTTTCTTAGCATTCATTTTCAGACCACGTTCATGGTTTACTCCACTGACTTTATCAAGGAAGATTTGATACTCAGATTTTCTTTCCATCCGTGAAACCCCTGTTCACTGGAGCTATTGGCAGCTTGCACAGGATTGCAGCCTCATAAGAGGGCGATCTTATACCTGTTTAGACAGAAAAAAGGCCTGCAGCTTACAGCATATCCCAGCCATAATAAAATGCAGAAGTGCAAAACATTATTAAGTAACCCTTTCATGGGCAGGCAAACAAAAGCACTGTGTTTAAAAGGCTTTTTGGACTGGTTCATGAGCAGCACCATTTAAACAATGCAGTTCTTTAGCGGAAGTGGGGCCTGCATCAAATGCAGAGCAATGTAATGCAGAGAAGGTGCTGTCAGCCAGCCATACCCACCTCTGGGAGTGCTGTTCTGTTCCTCCTCCCAGCCAAAGGCAGCCAGCCAGCCAGCCAGCCAACATTCCATGTCCCCTGAGCATGCTCCATCCTTCAGGGATTTCTCCAGCCCCAGAAGTTTTCCTTGCCCCACAAAGAGTTTTTAGAGCAGCTGCAGTGTCTTCTGGAGGCAGAGGGATCCTCCTTCCTGGTCCCACAAAACCAGTGGTTCATGGTGACCCCTGGGGGAAAGGTGCAGGCCAATGGTGGTTCCAAATTATTAAGGACCCTCGGGCAAGACCTGCTCGGTGGAACCCCTCCCTCAGTGAGTCCACCTTCCCATGGCCTTTGCCCCCGGTAGGGGCAGCTTCTCCTCTTTCTCAACAAGGCTTCCCCTTGCTTGCTCAGCAGGCAGAGAGGCAGTGGGCAGATCGCCTGCTCCGCACCACCACCACAGTGGCCTGGGCCAGAGCAAGAGGCAGCAGATGGAGAGGCAGGTGGCAATTTTGAGGAGGAGCCGCTTCAGGAGGGCCTATGTGGGTGCCTGCTGAATGGTGGGACCTTGGCAAGTGCCCAGTTGTGCCAACCCTGGTTGCCGGACCTGGAGTGGCACAGTGAGATGCCATGGGTCGGGAGCAGAGCTTGACTCCAGGTGAGGCAGGAAAGGGTTCGGGTTCGGGTTCTCTGGAGCTTGGTTCTGCGAAGCGAACCTCATCACGGATTAAACTCATGCGGCCTTTGTGTGGCAGTCCATATTGTGCCCAAATGGCGAATGATGAGAATGCAGAGCTAAAGCCTTCCCTTTCCCAAGGTGTCTGAAAACAGGGTGTTGCAACAACCTGAGGCAAGAACAGGTACAACCAGATGCTTTCTTAAATTAGGACTGGTAAATAAGAGTTTTTGCAAGCACCATCCTGTTATTTCTGGCTTTGCATGCAGAACTCTAACTTTTCAGAAACACCCGTGTTTCTAGTTGTATTGAACAGGTTTGTCTAGTCCTGGCAACCTCAGATACTCAAGAATAATGACTGAACAGAAAATCTAAAAATTCCCCAAATCAAACAAAAACATTTGGTGGGCACAAGATACTTAAGGCTTTCTTTGGAGTTATTTTTATTGTGCAGTACAATTTGCACCATCAAAGAAGAAAAAAAAGAATGAAACTAAAACATTGCAATTTTTGAATAAAATTAAAAAACCCACAACATTAGATAACATATATATTACCTATTCCAATATATTAATACATAACAGAACTTACTAACATTTCTAAAAAGAATTATTAATACACTCCAATCAAGGGAGCCGCAAATCTATGCATTTATCCATCTGTGGATTACGCCTAATGGTCGCACATTCAAAAATGGGAAGTTTCATGAAATCCCCCACCCACTGCATTATTGCAAGCGAGCTGTTTATTTTGTGTGTGTGTGTGTGTGTGTGTGTTGTAACATGGGTCTTTTAGCTGTCAGAAGGGCATGGGAAATCCATGTATGTGTTAAATTCCAAGAGATGAGTAGATAATTCAAAAGAACATGTGTATCCTTAAAGAACATTCCATCACAAGATTTATTTGAATTATTTCCTTCTCCCAAAAGGGAATTACCATTGCGCATCATTGCATATCTGGAGATGCTGATAAAATACTTTCATACTGCTTAATATAATAAAATCCTAACTGGTAGTCCTTCTGATGTCTGGGGCTACAATTCCTAGCAATCTTCGGGCATTGGCCATGCTGGCTGTGGCTGATTGGAACTGCAGGCTGAAACATCTGGAGGGGAATAGAATAGAATAGAATAGCCCCTGCTGTTCATGCTCCCTTTGGAATAAACTCCATTGGAAGCAACAGCGTTTACTTCTGAGTAAACACGCAGAGACTTGGGCTGTCAGCCTGACTTACCAGATGTACTGAAGGAGTTATTGCATGCTGAGATGCCACCCATCCTTTCATACTAATGGAAAGGAGCATTTCCTGCTGGACGCCTTTTCCCCCAGGGCACTGCCGCGCTGCATCCCTTGCCCCTGAGGAGGAGCAGGCTGGTGCGGGCGTGCAAGATGGACCGCGTGTCGCATGGAGCTCTGCCCTCCGCAAAAGGGGACGTTTGGGGGCTCGGGAGGAACAGCCCGGGGCTGCCACTGCTGCCTCACAGCGCCTGGTGCTGGAGGCGGTCCCTCACCCCACTTTGTGGTAGGCCGGCCCTGGCCACAGCAGCACATATTGTGTCTGTGTGTCTATCTGTAATTGCATACAGTTCACGGCCACTCAAGCGCTCAGATGCCGGTGTGGCACGTTTTACAGTTCCACGTTTCACCACATGAGGGCGTGCGTACACAACCACGACAAATTTAATCTCGGCGGTAAGAAATCTGTCAATATGTGCACCTCAGTCCTGGTGGTTTGCAATTCGACATTAAATAATTTTTAAAAAATCGACAGGTTCTATTAATCAATATTTAGGGCGGATGACCAATCAAATCTTCACCCTTCCCTTTGGCAAAGGAATTACACAAGAAATTCAGTTTCATTAACCACAAACCTGCTGGAAGGGAAGGACATTTTTGTAATGTCCTTTTCCTTGGTATGGGCTGGTCTTGATTTGGAGGGGCTTTGCAGACACAAATCAGATGCAGAGGGGTGAAAAGCACAATGCACTTAGATTACTGGTGCCAGGAACCCACAGGACTTCTCAGCGGAACTAGCTCAAGGAATGTGGCACACAAGGGTTCACATGTAAGCTGTGGTTTTTGCAGGAAGGGCTAGGAAAAATCCTGGCTGAAACCCACTGACTGCTCTTGCTGCCAGTCAGGGCCAGCAGCACTGGACTAGGTGGGCCCAGGGCCTGTCTCAGCATAGACAACTCCAGGAACAAGCATGCGTGGGCAAATCAACATGCTGAATATACTAGCCCAGAGCAGCTCCAGCTGGGCTGTTCCTAGTGTTACTGGTCAAAAGGCATTATGCAGCTATTCCACTGCCTTTCCTGAATGGATTTTTGTGGCAAGAAGAAACAGAGGAGTAGAGGCTGAGAAACACAAGAGGGATGCAAATGGAAGGTGACTCTGGACCTGTCTGGAGCATTTATGATTGAGGCAGGGAGTCGCCACAACCGGCTCCTTCTCAGGAAACACCCTCAGAGCTTTTCTGTTTGAGGTATGTAACCTAGCACTTCATGAACCTGCTTTCTTTTTGAGCTGCAGGATTGGCACATCCTTCAAAAGAGTCTTTCTCCCTCCATGGAGATTCTTCTCTGACCCACAAGGAGCTGCTGTGGCAGAGTGGATCTGCAAAACTACATGGCGATCAGTCCTTGCTAACCCTGCCAAATGGCTGGAAAATTCAAGATAGGCTACGGGGGTGCTGATGATGTAGGATAATGGGCTCACAAGCATCCCAAATACTCCTCTGAAATAACACTGAGCTCAAAGTCTATGCACACAAATGCCCACTCTTGGTTTTCTGCCCAAGCTTCCCCCTTCCCCATCTCTGTGGCCTCATCTGGAAGGTGGATGGAGCCTTCTTGTCGCAAAAAGGGAAAGCCTATTTTTCAAAGGATTTCCCCTGCCCCATCTCAGACATGCAGCTCCACGGTGCTCTTCAGTGCCACTGAACCCAGGCATAAAGAGGTCTGAAGAAAGTGAAAAGAAAGAGAAGGCTGCCTCTACAGACTCCAGGCAGTTCTTGTTGCGGGCCAGGAATCCATGACGTTTCAGCCATGGGCCGGTCCTCTCTTTCCTCAGGCAAATGTGATCGTCAGTGTCCCAAAATGACTGCGGGTCTCCTTGGAGTCACTGTGTCCAATAAAGCTTACACCTGAGTAAACAGGCATAGCAACACAGGAAGGTGCCTTACGCTGAGTTACACCATGGGACTGCCTAATCCAATTCTGCAGGCACTGACCACTGTAATCCACTCATAGTTCACCCCCTGCCTGCGGATGCTGTGGATTTGCTGGGGGGCCTTCTGTGAGGAAAGCAAAGGCTGTACCACTCAGCTGCAGCCCCTTCTGACTGGACTGTAGCTTGCTGCAAAAGCAGCATGGGTATTGCAGTACCTTAAAAATGAACACCTGCATCACAGCATGTATGTGTATCTTCTAGCCTACGGAAGCTTTTGTGCTGCTGTCAAATGTGTTAACGTTTCACATGGTGCCAGTCACCCGATTCTTGGCTGCTTTTCCAGCAGAACTGGTAGATCTTTTGATCCATGGGCGTGAATGGCTGGGAAACACCTGGAGCTGCGTTCTGGAGTGAGGCTACTTGGAAAGCAACCCACACCCTCGAGTCTCACCACACCCTAGCCATGCAGGTGGGATGTAGAGGCCCAAAAGATGACGAAGCAACGTGTGTGCGTGGGGGGGGGGCAGAGGCAAAAAAGCAGGAGAGCAGGCTAAAAGCGGAAAGGCACCGCAGAGCGCCTCTTCCAAGGGAGCGGCTGGAGTGTCTGCTGAAGCAGGGTATCATGAGAACTCGTGCATGGCATTCCTCTCCACTCCACCTGCGCTCGATGGGAAGTTGGCAAGCAGGCTGGATCGTGAAGCTGCCCATGCGGGGCTTTGGCGAGACGCGCAGGGCATCATTCGGCGGAGTGACCAGCGAGGCCACCCAGCACCGCAGAGCTGGGCCACGGCTCCCTGCTGAACGAGGGAAGGTGCTGTAGTCGCCTGCATGTCCCCCAAGAAAAAGTCCTACGACTGCCGGTGCGCCGAAGCCACAGTGCCCGGGAATCGCAGGGCCAGCGGGCCTGGGGTTGTGGATCAGGCGCACCCTTGGAAGACAAGACGAGAACGCCTGCCGGCCGCAGTCTTGCACGCGTGTCTGCCTGGGAGGATGCGCACAAGCGCCAGCGGGACTTGCTCCTGCGCAGGCGAGCTCAGAGCGCCCTCCTCCAGAAGGAACCCGAAAGCGCACCGGCGCGGAAGGAGAGGCCCTGCCGCCCGCCCCAAGGACTCTTTCGAGCGTCCCTGCGCCAGCCGATCTGTGCGCGGTGCTCGGTTTAAGAAGGGTGGGGGCTTAAGAAGTCCGAGTGTCCCCCCAAGTCTCCCTGTCCTTTTTGCCAAATACCCAGGAAACACCCAGGAAATAATCCCCCACCCAGGTAATCCGAGCAGTGTTTTCACGGTGCTCCCCCCATGGTTTTTTGGTTTGGAAGGGGTGCGTGCCTGTCCGGCAACCTAGAAGTCCCTTCCAGGCGATCCGGAAAGCAGGCTCACCCACGGCTCCCTCCCCAGCAGCAGAAAAGAAGGCACACTGCACATGCTCCGGAAGCCTCTCGCACCCGCTCCGGCCCGCAGCGAAGAAGAGAGTCTCCAAGGCGGCAGCGGGACGCGCCGTAGGAGGAGGCGGGCCGGCTCTTGGGGTCGGGCGGCGCGCTCCGCCCGCTGGGGCGGCGACGGGCGGGCTTGGAGCGGCGCGGCTGCCCGGCCGCGAGGGCGGAGCTCCCGGCAGCCGCTGGCAGCGTCGAGGAGGAGGAGGAGGAGGGCGCGCCTGGAGTCCCGCGGGGCGTAAGTAGCGCCGTCGGGTCGGGCCGGGCCGGGCCGGGCGCGGGGAGCCAAGCAGACGCCTCGCTTTGCCCGGGTGGGCAGACGAGCGCGGACTTCCTTCCTCTTCGAGCACCAGGAGGCGGATCGGGTCCATGCCAGACTCCGGGTCGGGGACGGAAGGGGGAGAAAGGAGAGCCCTTCTTGCCTTGACCGCATAAAGGAGCCGGGATTTGCATGTTCTGGGGCACAGCTCTGCCCCCAGACTTCTCTCCCCGCACGCCGGCGCATCTCCAGTGCACAGGGTAGGAGGCGGCTGGAGAGCTGGAAGCAGCGGGGCGGGATGCGACGGATGCCTCTCCCTGGCGGTCCAGTCTTGCCTGGAGGCGCCCTCTGACCGGGCAGCCCCACCCCGCCTCCACCCCCAGGCGTGTCTGGGGCACGGGTCTCCTTCAGGCGGAGAGAGACGCGCACTCTGCACATGCCCGAGGTCCTCATTCTCGCCTCCTGGGCTCGGCCGCCGCGACGTTCGGAGCTGGATCTTGGTGGTGAATCCTCGCACAAGCGTTAAATCGCGTCGTGATCTGGACTGTCACACGGATCCTGGCTGTGCGCGTGAGGCGGCGAGGTCCCCTGTTCTGTATTCTTCCTTGGAGGGTTTAAGATGCAGGACGTCCCGACGCAGCCCCTGGGAAAGCGGAGGCTGCTAGCCTTGGATAAGTGCCTGCCGTTTAATGGTGAATGGCGTGAAAGGGGTTTGAAAACGCAATGAAACGCAGAGGTGAGGCAGGGAAGGCTCCAGTCGGGCTTGGAGGTCTGGAATTCTGCCCACTTGTGTTCTGTGTCATCCTTCTGGAATACACAATGCTTTTCCCTCCAAAGGAAGGGCGGCCCCTTCCCCTTAGTACAACTGCAGGTCCTTGGGCCAAATTGGACCCATATGGGATGCCAACTGCCCCTCTACCCTTCTCTCTGGAAGGGTAAAAGAAAGGCATGGCCGGACAGCACCAGACTCTTGCCGGTGTGGGTGGCCCCTTTAGGCAGGTGGGCAAGGGAGAGATGGTGGCCCAAGCATCTCTCTGTTTATTCTTGGCCAGCCCAGATTCAAAATGGCAGCACCCCTTTCTCTCCCGAGTCCCCAGCTTAGCAGAGGGCCAGGGCAATGCCACAAAGCCAGGAACCTGGAGTGCTTTTCTTAAGCTCCTGAAATGGCTCGCGTGGTGGGTGGGAGGATGACAGACACAAGCCCCCTCCTCCCTGCCTGTGGGATTTAATCTTTGAGGCAGGCCATGCTAGTGCATCCCAGAACGTCTCCGCTCAAGATGTCAAAAGGCTCCATCTGTCTATTTTAAGGCTGCAGGGAGGCGGTGGGATTAGCAGGGCAGGCGAGCTGCTGCCCATGCGTGCTGCCAGATGCTCCCTCAGTTCCTCGTCAAGCCCGGGCCTCCGGTTTCCTTCTCCCCTCTCTTCTTCTCCTCTCTTTCCCAAGCGAATGGATTTGATTGCCCCGAGGGGCGGCTGCTCTGAATTTGTAAGCATTTATAAGAATTCATAATGTGTGAGGCAATGCACACATTTCTGACTGCAGAGCCGTACTGTTCCTGCTGCTCTCTCTCAGCACCAGCTCCCTACATTTTGCATCCTTCCCTGAAGCTTTGCCAGTCATGTTCCAAGGCATCCAGAGTCACTATTAATTCTCCACCTGTTGTATTAATTTAGGGAGAAGAGCTGCTTCATCTTTGACATTTTAGAAAGGTTTTTCCTTTTTTGTTCTCAGTTGAAAATGTTAGAAAGGTCTTTCTACACAGACACAAGATATTTTAATGTTTTTACCAAAGTTAATTTGATGCACGCTCATCCAGATGAGCTGAAACTCCCCTTGCATGGGAGCAGCCAGTTCAGTAGCATGAATGTTTTATTTGGAACAACTCATGCTCTGGTTGGGAAGAGGAGCTGACTAGGGAACACTAGCTAGGAATAAATGCCCTGAAAGGGCTTAGTTTTCACAGAACTGCTCCCAGAGGTCTCTTTGGGGTTCCATTGAAAGTGGTAGAGATAGAGAAATCCCAGAAGGAAAATACCATTCAGTATTTCTATAAACCCTCAGAGGGTATCACGCCAGGTGGGGAGAGCCTCTTTCAACCTGGGGGGGGGTGACTTCCATTTAGGGGAGACCCTCACGGGGTGGCACATATCAGTAAGAGGAGGGGCCGAAGGCCCAAAGAGTGGCGTGAAAAGCGAAGTGGGCAGGGCATTTAGCAAATGTTCTGTCGTATGTTAGCTTAAAGCTCTCTCTGCCAGCAATTCAGAACTTCTCTGCATGAAGCTGCTAACTGGCCACTTGCCCAAGACTCCGGTTTCTGGACTGGCTCCTTTAGGTGTGGTTTTCCTCCAGGGTTTTTCTTTCTCTGACTTTCAAAGGGTTCCTTTGCCCAGCCACAAGGTGCTGCTGCAGTATAACAGAACTGTGAAAATAAGCCAGCTCCTAAGAGCATGATTTCCAGACATTTCTCCAGCTAAAAGAAGCCCCGGGAATGTTTGGAAAGCTTGGAGAGGTCCTGGAGGAGAGCTTGGTCCTGTAAAGGGTTCATGAGATACCATGAGTCAGGAATCACGCGTCCATGTAACTGCCTCTTCTAGAAAGGCCAAAGAAAAGCTTTGAAACCTTTTAAGGAGGTAAGCAGACACAATTGGGAAAATGATCCATGTCTGACCATCAGCACTAAGGGGGCGTGGCCTTCTGTGGGACCCCGGAGGGCCAGTTTTGGCTTGTACACATGAGGTTTGCACCTCCAATTTAGGCTAGTTCTCTGCCCTTTTTCTGAAAAGAATGAGTATTTAAAATAGAGTATACAAAGGTGTGTTTGATCAAGGAAGGCTCGGTAGGGTTGGGGTAGGCATTGAGATCTCACCACAGTTTGGAAGTCGGTAATTGGTACAGAAGGTTCTTTCTTGGAGGAAGTGGGTGGTCACATTGCAGAGCGGGTGCAAGAGGACTCTGGGGGCCTTGGCTCCGTGCTTTCGGACTGGGGACTTGCTCCCCACATTGACAAAGCCCACCAGCAAGGGGACCGGCGGTGAAAGCAAGTTACTGACAATGCAAACAAAAAATAATAGTGTCCCAGGGAAAAATGGATGTTGGTCACTTTATTCAAGGCCTTTCCTAAATGGTGGGGGTCGTTACAGACTTGATAATGACATCACGGGAAAGTCTTGAACTGAAGGGATGGACGTCATATTGGTCCTCCTATGTACGAAAAGTAGAAGAGGAAAATCCAGCTAAGCATAGGCCTCTCGGGACACCAGCTTCTGCAAGGCCGCGAGATTCCGTGCGGTTGCAGCACTGAGCCCATGCGGCCAACATGCTGGGACTTGGCAGGCTGAGCGCAGCACACCCTCCCGCAGCTGGTGGGGAAAGCGCGGCTCCGGCGGCCTGCTTCTCTGCACTCTTGGAGAGGGGAAAAGCAGAGCGCGCTGTGGGTGGGAAGGGGAGCAGACTCTCAGCACCCCCCCTCCCATCCCTCCTTCCCTGAGCGCCTCCGTCAATGGCCACCTGATTAAAAGGCCTGGGCACGATGGACGGTGGTGGCATTCACTGCTCCTGCGGCTACTCCGGCCGTGAGGTGCAAGCCAGCCTCTGAGGGAGCGCGCTGGATTGTGCCTCAGTTCACTCGATGTTCTTGGGGCTGCGCTTCATTTTCTTTTCCATTCTTCCAACAAACTTGCAAGGCGCAGTTGTATTGCTGCATTAAAGGTGCGGTTCTCCAGTTAAATGAGAAGAAGATCATGCCAGCAGGGATATTAAAAAAAGGAGGCATCTGGCTTAATTGCTTTGTCTTTTAACCACTTGTGGGGCATAAATAGAAATTATAATAATATCTTATATATCTAGCTTTATCAGTTTATATTTACTAGCCAAGGTTACCTAGGTTAATGGAACACAATGATTATAGAATGTAATTGTTTTTGTTTCAGCTGAATAACTTGCTTTACTGCATTTAGTACAACCCCCTGCATGCTTTCAGCTTTACTAAATCAAAATTTAAATACCTTATGTATTACAGGTCAAATGGGATAACGTCTATTCACTTCATGATATAGAATAACCTCTGAATATTTTCTGTAGTCCTAACAAAGGAACATCTCCAGTCAATAATGGCTTGATTGTTAATTCCTCCCTAAAAAGTAGGTTTGAATGTAGACATTTCTGTGCAGTATAATCTTTATTTTTTAAAGGAAGAGGTTACAACAGCAGTTCAACAGGTCTGGCAGTCTGATAATTTACCTCTTTCTCTGTTTTCTGCCCAGGGATTGGCGTTAATCTTTGACTGCCTCATGTAGCTGCTTCATCAGCCGTGTGGTTAGCTTCCAAATGGTTACATAATGTGGGCGTCAAAGGATGCTCAGACAAAAGCCAGGGCAGGGACAGAAGTGAGTGTTACGTCCATCGATTGCCTGATACCCACATACACTCATCTCTTTATTTATCTTAGTCCTGTGTCAAAATGTTTCCTTGTAAATATAATTTGGGGGGGGGGGACCTCCCCACTCCATGTTTATAACAGAGTCATCCTTTTTCTGCACCTGTTTGCAGCCTTGTTTAGTTGCTGCCCGAGGTACCATTATGAAGCCTTTCCTTCATTATTGCTATTTTTAAAGGGTGGGGTTGACTGAAAGCAGGTTTCTGGGTGATCTGTGGCAGACTGGAAAAGGTCTCCCTTTCTCACCTTTCAGAGGGATACTAAACACTGCTATGCTTAGTTCTGTTGTCCCCAGCTCAGTGCAGATGAGCTTCTGACGCTGGCCCTGAGCGAGGCCTGGTGGTGGTGCCCTCCAGACGCAGAATCTTGGAGCGGGGGCTCCAAAGAACCCTATGCCCCCCAGACCATGTTGGAGGGCCTTAGTATTGCACCCTTCGTCTGTTGCAGCACCCTCACCCCCCACAAGGAGCTTGTGGCACATTAAAGCCAAACCCATTGATTTTGGATGCCAGGCCACTGCATTAGAGCATGGAGTGTCCGGAGGATTCCGGGTTGGTGGGCTGCGTGTGTGGAGCGTGTGTGCAATTCCACGCACAGTGCAGGGGACTCGAAGAGGGAAAGGCAGTCCCACAATAGCATTCTCAGTGCTGGATCAAGAAAACGCCCCCACTTGCAAATCAACGAAGCATAAACATGAACTGACCGAGTAAACAAATTCTTACTTTTAGCAGTGACTTAGCAGTATCTGAGGCCACTGTCCTATGCATAGTTAGACAGAAAAAAGCCCTACCGTTCCTAGCCTTTCCCACACAGGAGCTGCAGGATTTTTTCTGTCTAAGTATGTGTAAGATTGTTCTCTTAAAGCTGTTTCCCCCTTCTGAATGTCTCTGCTTGAATCTAGATCAGGCTGTGGAAGAGGGGTGTTCCTCAGCACTGCATGGGGCGCTCTGGGGTAGCTTGCACATTCAAGTATAAATAGATCCCTCCTTTACTGCAGTCCACAAAAGTTTCTGCCGCTCTAGGCCAGAGGTGAGAAACTGCAGGCCAGTGGGTTAAATCTGGCCATTCTGGATTTGTGTGGAGGCGGGAGACTCCAGGGTTAGCAGGGCCCTGGGTCTGGGCAGCCATTATGGACAGCCTGTGGAACTTAAAGGAGTTGTCCATGGTGCTGAACCAGCGAGAGATTAAAAGAAAAGGGGGGAAAAGACGGAGTGTTTTAGTTGAAAGGGCACAGGATGGGGACAGAGACAGCACCCTGTGACCTGGCCTGACATTTGTGTAACATCGCCATTGCAATCTTGTCCGCAGCCTGGTAAGGTAGGTCAGCGTTGATTTCCCATAAGGCAGTTGTGCAGCTGTGAGTGACTGGGGGCTTTGGTACCTGGGGCCCTGAACCTGTTGCTTTAACAAGGCTTCTGCTTCCAAATTCTTTGCAGAGTTAAGATTGGCTACTTCACCTGTGGGATTTTTTTTTTTTGGGGGGGGAGGATTTTCTTTCTCTTGCTTTCCAAATGTTTCACTGGACAACCATGAGGGTGGCGCTGTGGCACAGCTGAAGGATGCAGATAGGGCCGTCCCATTGCAGTTCATTCCGCAATTGGAAAAGAATAGCACACCTGGGGAGCCTTTGGCAAAGTAGATGCACCATTATTTTTAATAGGAACAATATGTTCCATTGTATGCTAACTTACAGGAATATATAATACTTATAGGAATATATTATACATATGTAACCACTGCTATGGTTAGTATTTTCTTAAATACTATCCAGATCTTGTCATTTTCTTCCCCTTCTCTTTCATTCTTACAGTGCAGTCTGGTTGTTTTTGCATTGCACAATTAACAACAACAACACCTGGACTGATGCAATCAATCAATCAATCAATCAATCAAGTGCTTGTATCCTGTTCACTCCCAGATGCCTGACAACGCCCCCCCCCCCCGTGCTATCAGCTTTCCTGCCATACTTCACATCATCAATTGATGCTGTTGGGAAATACCCAGTAGGATGGTGGTGACACATCATGGCGCTTCTGCGGTTGTTAGAAAGATTAGGGGAGGACTGGACACCAGGACGCCATTTTTGTGGGGCGCTCCATGACTTGATTAGATAGAGGCAGACATGGGGCTGCCATTTTGGGCAGGGTCTCTGTGACTTCATACAATCATGACATAGTACAGGTGGAAGGGACCCTGAAGGCCACCGAGTCCAATCATTCCAGAGCGCAGGGCACCAAGTTAAGCCACCCTCTCAAAGCCTGCCCAGTTGCATCTTGAGTCTGCTAGTCTGTGTCCTGCACTCTGGAATGATCGAAAACCTTTCACGTCCTTGTAGCTCGCTACCAAATCTCCACTCAGTTTGTCAGTGAGTCACAGAGGAGCCATTCTCTTCCAGAACTCCATCTCTCCTATAAGTCTACTTCCAGTTTTCTCCAGATAGTTACTCTAGTGCCTGTTCAGGGTTACTCTGCATGTACTCCCTGTCAAAGATGGGCCATACAGTTGGAAGGGACCTAGAAAGACACTGGGTGTACCCCTCTGCTCAATGCAGGAGTCAAGTCTCCAATCCAAATACTAATGAGGCCTGATCCCACTTAGCTTCCGAACCACTACAGGCTCTTTGGAAGCACATGTCTACTCCACCTAACAATGTACCTGACTTCAAAGCATGAAGCAAGAAGCAGCTCTGATTGCTTCTTCTTCTCTGCAATCAAGGTCAGCATTATGGGAATGCTGTGCACAGACACTTGCATGTTGAGTGCACATACAGATCTGAGCTCACTTTAGATATTCTCCTTGCATGCTTTTGTCCTTAACCTCCTGTGATTAATCTGGGCTTTGTCTAAACTTGTCTCACTTCTTCTCTGCAGATTAGTGCCATACAGAAGTAAACGCCTTGCCATTTGGGGGAGGGGGTGCCAGAAGTAAACGCCTTGCCATTTGGGGGAGGGGGTGCAAGAATTCCCCCTTCTCTCAGAGAGCTGATCCTAGGTAGTGCCCCTCTGTGTGGTAATTATAAACAGCACCAAACCCCCCCCCCCCCATCACCATGCCAAGTGGAGCTTTGGTGAGTCAGGTTACTAACTCAGAAGGGTCATTGCCTTTTTCCTCTAAAAAAGTAGTTTCTTTAGCTGTACTTACAATCGATTATTATCCATATGCTATTGTATTTACACTGTTAATTGAGCTATGGGTCTTATGAACATGATTGTAGAATTATCCACTGTTCTATTTCATCCTGCTGGTCTTATGACCAGAAGAAAATGAACAAGAAAGAAGACAATCTGGCAATAGTTCTGTGCCTCGCTTTGTCATCTGCACAATGTCCTCTTTCCCAGGGCAGACATGGGGAAGGGAGCCGTACCAGTGAGGCACAGCCGTGTCTTTTTACTGGGAAAAGGAATACTATTGTCGTGCCAATCTTGTGGCATGACATCCAACGAAGAGATCATCGTCTTGGCTTGGTTTTGCTTGCACGATGATGGGCACAGCTGTGCAGCCACTACTTCTGCAAGGAGAGCAAGATACTTGCCCAGTGGCTTGGGTGGCTTGGCTAGGAGTTGTTTCTTTGGGGCATGTGGATGGTTGGGGGCTCTTGAGCTTGGGCCCACCCCACACATTCACATGAGATGTGGAGAAACAGCTTGGAGCTGCAGCAAAGCACAGCAGGGGGGGGAAGGGGGGGCTTATGTCTCACTGGTGGCTTGAAGATGGAACCTGGAAGCAGAGGGGAAAGCCACCAGACGCCCTGGGCTTCGCAGGGAGCAGTGGGGCAGCAAATCCTCCATTACGAATGAGTGCTGAACAAGTTTTGCTCTTCCATCAAGGTGGATTCGTAAATGCTTCCAGGGTTTTTCCCTTCCCAGGACCTCCTTGAACAGAATTGCTCTGTCTGGAGAAGAGCAGAGTGACACACGTGTGCATGAAGCAGGACTGAGTCGGACAAATGGGTGCAACGCAATGACAACTGGACACGAGTTCAGCACATGCCAGCAACCAGTGTGTTCAGGGTACAAACAGGCCCAGTGAAGTCTGCATAGCTGTAACATAGGACCCAGTCCAGGAGGTGGTATAAAATCAGAGTATGAAAAATTGGGGGAAATGTACCATTTGGGAAGTTCTGATATATTGGACAGGAAACAATATCTCGCCAAGTACTTCTAACATCAGCTAAGGCTTGGGCAGGAGCCGGGGAGGGGGAGAAAAAGGAGCTTTGCGGGCGGCTTTGGATTCCCTGAATCAGGCTGTACCTTCAGTGCCTTTTGTTTTGTCATCCGCTCAACAGAAAGAATGACCTGGTCCAGCCACTGTATTTTAATCGAGTTCGTTTCTTCTTTCCCTCTTTTTCCCTTGCGTTTCTGAATTTTGGTGTTTGGTGTTTTCTTGCATTTCTTTTCTTTATTTTTTTGCATGTCTGTCTCTGAATTTTGGTGTTCCCCACGATGAGGTTTCCCATGCTGCCCCATTTGGCATTTGGGGGTGGGTTGTGCTAGTAGCTCCTTGCATTGGAATGCCAGACAGATTTGGGAATGCAGCTTAAGTCCAAACTTCACATATACTAAGCTGGCAGAAAATAATCGGATTTCAGGGGTCAACTTTTTGGGCTGTCCATCCTGCACAGGGATGGTCATGCTGCAGAACGTTCTCTCCTACTCCTGAGCATGACGTAGACGAACATACAGCTCATCTTCGGAGCCAGGCCTCTCTCGGCCTGAGGGCTGAATTCCTTTCTAGAGAAGCTCCCCATTCCAGGAGTGGGTGGAGCCAAAGGAAAAAGGGATGGGGCCAAAATACCAGCATGCTCTAGTTTAAAGCGCTGGCGGCCAGTTAGCCAAGTCTTAGGAGAGGCAACACAGCCTTTCTGAGTCCGTGAAAAACCTGTACAGAAGCTGGGAAGCCCCCAGATGGTTGGTGAAAAGAGGACTTGGCCATCAGGCAAGCACCAGAGAG